AGAGAGAGAGAGAGACAGGAAGAAAGCATCCCTTCCATGGGGTGGAGTCACACTGCAATCCCTCTCCTCCATCTCTCCATTCTCTCAGGATTTTGTGCATACACACGCATGTACCTAGTGTGTTTTTCAAACCACTAAGATCAGGATTCAAACTGCTGCTGGACATGTGGGCTCCAGCTTTTCTTAACCACTAGGCTGCAGGGCCAGCCTACTAAATTTGACTTCTCACCTGTTTCTTGGAAGACACTGCTGGAAAGAATTCTGTAGAAAGCATATTTTATTCAGTGACAATTTTTTTTTCTCATTTAACTTAAAGAGCCCTCCAGTTAAATAAAATAAAATAACAGAGAAAGAGAAGTTTCTAAAATGTGGTCTTTCAGTCCTGAAGCTGACCATAATTAAAATAGACCATTGAATAATTTCTATTTTTTCTGGATGTGTTTTTCCCTTTCTGGCCTGCTGTAATAAAAGTTTGCAATAGTCAATTCTCAATTAGCTTTGTTAATGGAGAGGAGCAGTGACATAGATAAAAACAAACTACAGATAACATGAAAATGATTTACTGCCACTTACAGGTTCCCCCCACCCCTGACTTCACCCCTCCCCAGAGCTCTCCAATCATCGTCTTCAGACCTCCAACATGTGTATCAGAAGGAGACTGTGGGTCACACAGATAATCTACTCAAGGGTAATGGATTTGACTACAATTTAGCATTGATTAATTATGGTGTCCAATTTTAATTCAGTGCTATTCGCTAACTAATTAGAAAAGGTTTTTCTATGTTCTATTTTCGGCATAGACAACTCTAAGCATAGGTACTTTAAAATTAGCAGTGCTGTTAAAATATAATAATTATTTATCCCCAACTTCATGATACGTGTTGTGTGAGGGTCAGGAGACCTATGTTCTTGCCAGTCCTACCTATGTCAGGGACTTGGTGACACCAGGTAATCAACTTGCCCTCTCAATTTAGAAGGTGAGGTTAGACAAAGTAAGTGTCTGAGATTTTGCTTCCAGGGCTATTATTCTAACCTTGGCCAAAACTGTGATGCCCGTTTGCTCTTAGATTCGTACCAGTGAGTTCATGGCAGTGGGTCTGAGCTGAGCAACCTTTCCCCACAGGGGACATTTAGCAATGGCTAGAGTTATTTATTGTGATGACTTGCAGAAAGGGTAAGAGTTCTGTGTGCCACTGGCATCTAGTGCATAGAGGCTGGGGACTGGCAAACGGTCTGCAATGCCTGGGACAATGCTCTGTAACAAAGAATCATCGGGTTGGAAAGTCCATAGTGCCAAGGTTGAAAAATCTTGATATACAGGAAGCTATCTTGACATGGATCAGTGGTCTAGGAATTACCCCATTTGGGAAGACAATAGAAATTTAAAGTACAAGGCAATAGAATATTATTTTTGGACTTAAAAACGGAAGCATAAGGGACCAGCAGATGACATAATGGTTACGTCGCTGGACTCCCATGTAGTCAACCGCAGTTCCAGTCCTGGACCTGGAAGCTTAAAACTCACACCAGGCATGTGTGCATACATGCCCAAAGTCACAAGAGAAGAATGGAGGAGAAGGGATTGCAGATGGCCATCCCCACTGGAGTTGATTTCTTGCTTTCTGTCTCTCTGTCTCTCCAGGAAGCCCATGTGCCGAATAACAAAAATATCAAAAAAAAATAATAAAATAAATAAAAATAAAAATAAAAACCTGAAGCACAAAAGATTGTGTAAAAATACAAATTTTTACAAAATTTCCAAAGTGAAGTACTAGATCACCAATATATATATAATATTTATGAAAACTAAAATATTATTTTTGGACTTAAAAACGGAAGCATAAGGGACCAGCAGATGACATAATGGTTACGTCGCTGGACTCCCATGTAGTCAACCGCAGTTCCAGTCCTGGACCTGGAAGCTTAAAACTCACACCAGGCATGTGTGCATACATGCCCAAAGTCCCAAGAAGAGAATGGAGGAGAAGGGATTGCAGATGGCCATCCCCACTGGAGTTGATTTCTTGCTTTCTGTCTCTCTGTCTCTCCAGGAAGCCCATGTGCCGAATAACAAAAATATCAAAAAAAAAAAAATAAAATAAATAAAAATAAAAATAAAAACCTGAAGCACAAAAGATTATGTAAAAATACAAATTTTTACAAAATTTCCAAAGTAAAGTACTAGATCACCAATATATATATAATATTTATGAAAACTAAACAGCCCTAAAACCTGCAAGGACGATATAAAAGGTTGACAATGTCGGTTTGGGGAAAGGACTTATGAAGGAATTCTGCTGCAGACAGCTGCTGCCTTAAGTGACACTCAGGTCCATC